AAAAAGTAATAAAAAAAATAATAAAAGTAAGGAGTGGAGGAAGAGGAGGAGGAGGAAGAAGAAAAGAAGAGGATGACGCAAGATCAGGATGATGTAGTAGAGTCGTGAGAAGCTGACAAGAGTCTTGCCTGGTCGGAGTCACTGGTAACCTGACCACCAAGACAGCTGATGTGGCTAGTGTTGTCAAGCTGCTGCCGCTGCTGCTCTCTCTTTTCTCTCTCTTCCCCTCTTTTTCTGCACCACTCCCCTCGTCCCCTCCTCACGATCTCCACATTCCTATCTACTAAACGTGTGTAAGTCAAGATGGAACAGGAGCGTTCAGCCTCCAAGGTCTTGTTTTCTATCCGTGTGGCTGGAGTTCTTGTTGAGTTTGTGTGGCTGTAATCCGGTATATCAGTGTTGTCTCGCCGACACCTCACACGAGGGATCAACTGCACGGATTGCTGCTGACGTTTTTGTGAATCTCTCGTCGCTGTTGATTTCATATGCAGAAGGTGCAGCCTGCGGGGATTTTATGCTGTGATCCTCGTATTGTCTTTTTTTATATAGCCATTTTCGTTAGGTAAATCCTGTGCGCTGCGCTGGTACCTTTTTTCCGACACTTTAGGTCTGGTGTTTATGTTACAGTCATACTATCAAGTGTATTATTTCCAGCAGAACTGAAGTTTTCTAAGACAGGACTTGACTCAGCAGGAGAGGAGTTTTCTTTTTCAGGATCTGACTTTAACAGGACTGGAGTTCTCATATGGAGGATATGACTTACAACAGAACTAGCGTGTCAAATACATTTGAATAAATTTTTTACTCGTAACGTGACCCTCAACTATCAACCAACACCCAGATATTTACATTTTTAATACTGGATGAAGAGGATCAGCACCGAAGAAAGAAAACTGAACCTGGAACGTTGGGTTTTGTTCTGAATGCACTGACCACTGAGTTACTGGTCATCTCTTTTATGTGGTATTCGACTTAGAGCACTCAGCAAGTTGTACTCACCATGTTGTACTCACCATGTTGTACTGACCAAGTTGTGATTACCATACTGTACTCACAGACATGTACTCATAGAGTAAGAGTATCCATAATGAGAGTTGGAGTACATTTTTAGCCCTGTAGTCTCGACCAGGTGCCACGTCAGGAAACACTTTCTCTAACCATGAAAACACCACCGTCACTATAGAGTAAATTACGTGCTATTGAGAGTAATGAAGAAAATACACCATTTTTTTTTTAAATAATACTTAATTGTGACAAAATTTCGATCGTTTAAAATATTTATCAAGCCATGATTAAGTTTTTATAAGTGTCTTTCCTATCCCAACAGCACTACAGACTACACTACACTACACTACACTACACTACACTACACTACAACACTATCTTAGCACTCGACTGGTCTGACGAGAGGAAGATGGCAATCTACGACTAAGATAGGTTTCTTAAACATGATTTGTGTGCTTTTTTTTTTGTGTGTAGAAAAAATTGTACAGTAGTTAGACTTTTGTTAATAGTTGCTGTTTCGTCGTCTCTGCGACCTGGCCTCAGACCAGGTTGTTTGAATTAATAATGAAATGTTACAACAAGAACTCTTTAATGCAAAGGAGAATTTAAGATAATTATGTATCAGATGTAAGTAGACCATACCCCCGGCCGGGATTGAACCCGCGGTTCAACGCGACGGGCTGGAGTTTTGAGACTCTATGACCGCGGGTTCAATCCCGGCTGGGGGTATGGTTTATTTGCAATCGTGTCATTACGATTTCTTGAGTCATGTTGACGGCAGTGAAGGGACTTGAGCTAGAGTTCGTCACGGCCACGCTAGCTGGAGATTCGTCTGTAAAAACTTGCATTTGTGGTCACAGAGGTGCCTGTGCTAACTTTCCTATGGTGTAGAAATATACCTAGTTGGATGAATCTTATTGTGGCTAGCTGGTCTAGTGGCTAACACGACGGGCTGGAGTTTTGAGACTCTATGACCGCGGGTTCAATCCCGGCCGGGGGTATGGTTTATTTGCAATCGTGTCATTACGATTTCTTGAGTCATGTAAGTAGACGTTTGAAAGATTTACCTGTAATCTTTATTTTCCTCTTCTTACTTTAATATCACTCTGGGATGAATATAACATATGTTCATAAATATACGATATCCATTAAGAGCTCATAAGGAAGTAAGTCACACTGTTTGATTCTACTGGTTTATGCTAGCTTAATGTACTATGTGTATGTCTGATACACCTAAGTGCTTTCACATCCATTGTACAGATTGATACAAAAGTCCATAAAATCATTTGCAGACTTTCTGAATGAAACTGATCTTATGGATCAAGCCCATTATTATTATTATTATTATTATTATTATTATTATTATTATTATTATTATTATTATTATATTAATGGTCTCAGTTTCTCTCCCTTCCTCCCCTGTCCCTTTAAAAGTGTCCCCAGCGGTCCTCAGCTTTTCATAACCTGACGTAATCATGACCTGTGGTCACAGACCATGAAGCTCCAATACGTAATGCTACAAAGAGCACCCACCACGACCCATGCTACAACCAGAACCCACCACGACCCATGCTACAACCAGAACCCACCACGACCCATGCTACAACCAGAACCCACCACGACCCATGCTACAACCAGAACCCACCACGACCCATGCTACAACCAGAACCCACCACGACCCATGGTACAACCAGAACCCACCACGACCCATGGTACAACCAGAACCCACCACGACCCATGGTACAACCAGAACCCACCACGACCCATGGTACAACCAGAACCCACCACGACCCATGGTACAACCAGAACCCACCACGACCCATGGTACAACCAAAACCCTACCCCCGACCTATGCTACAACCAGAACCCACCACGACCCATGGTACAACCGGAGCCCACCACGACCCATGGTACAACCAAAACCCACCCCCCGACCCATGCTACAACCAGAACCCACCACGACCCATGGTACAACCAGAACCCACCACGACCCATGGTACAACCAGAACCCACCACGACCCATGCTACAACCAGAACCCACCACGACCCATGCTACAACCAGAACCCACCACGACCCATGCTACAACCAGAACCCACCACGACCCATGCTACAACCAGAACCCACCACGACCCATGGTACAACCAGAACCCACCACGACCCATGGTACAACCAGAACCCACCACGACCCATGGTACAACCAGAACCCACCACGACCCATGGTACAACCAGAACCTACCCCCGACCTATGCTACAACCAGAACCCACCACGACCCATGGTACAACCGGAGCCCACCACGACCCATGGTACAACCAAAACCCACCCCCCGACCCATGCTACAACCAGAACCCACCACGACCCATGGTACAATCAGAGCCCACCACGACCCATGCTACAACCAGAACCCACCACGACCCATGGTACAACCAGAGCCCACCACGACCCATGCTACAACCAGAACCCACCACGATCTATGGTACAACCAGAACCCACCACGACCCATGCTACAACCAACACCCACCGATGACATGTATCGGTAATGCTTGTTTGCCAGCAGTATGCTGGGGGTCTCCGCCCCCACAGGCGCTGAGCTGAGCAGCACACACACACACACGGAAGTGTCAACTGCATAATTGCCAAGATCTGCTTAGTCAGCTGAATGGTGATAAGTATAAGCTTGAGGACCAGATGGGTCAGCATCTTAGTCTTCGATAGAAGGTACAGAAGAATTAGGTTACTTACTCAGGAATTATTTTAAAGGATTTCACTACAAGATTGCAAATTAGCAGACGAAAAGATGATGTCAAATAATAAGACAAGGAAGACCCATTAAATCATAGGGCGGTTTCGTAGACAAGTGTTGTAAAAATACTTGAAAAATATGGTATGGAAAAGGTGATTCAGCACCTGCCTGGAGTGTCTTATAGTGAGCGCCCCGCGGCCCTATCCCAGAACAGGCCTCCACAGAAAAAAAATATACTGGCTAGAAAACAGTCTGGTTTTCGGTCTACAAATTCATATACATCCAGTCTTTAAAGTTATTATGACAGAGTTAGGTAAATTGATCAAGAAAAAAATGGATTGGTAGACCGTACTAACGTAGATGAATTTAAGTCAACTTATTACATTGAAAGAGAAGCTTTCTGTTTGGGAGAGAAATAAGAACAGATATAAGAGGAAAAATGTTTGTGTGGGGAGGCGTCACAAGTGGGGTGCCACAAGGATCTATACTTGCCCCAGTAATGCTTTTAATTTATACAAATGATATACCAGAAGGAATAAAAACTATATGAATATGTTAATACATAAAGAAAACAGTCTTATGTATAATAATTATAAAATTATGATTGCATCACGACATGGAGGATATCAAAATAAATAACTAAGAATTATTGGAATGGTCTACATACATTCTACAGCATAATTTTTTATAATAGTTAATTATTGATAAGAATTCCTTCAGGATGCTGAAGAAAAATAAAGAAATATCAGCAGAGAAGATATCTCCAGAAGTTTTAAAAGAATGTGCAGAAAGATGTTACCCAGTTTGGGAATATTTTAATATTTAGTACAAGAAGGTAAACTGAGAGAAAGATGGAAGATGGAACACATTGTGTCAGTATATTAAAATGGAAACAGCAAACGCTCTTTGACTAACTTTCCAGTTTCATTGACGAAAATATTTGAAAAGGCCGTCAGTGGAAAGTGGATACAACACTCGGAGAGGAAAAACTTACTAACTGGTAAACATATGTATTCAATAAATCAAAAATATTCAGCTGTTACAATAGAGTTACGGAAACTGTACAAGAACTAGATGGTGGTAGATTGTACTTGTCTAGACTTAAGAAAGCTTCTGAAATATATCCCCATAAACGACTAGTTTATGGGACCCCAATGGAAATAAGTCACTTTCTGTGACTTTTTGGATTATGCCAGATTCTCTACACATATGCTGCTATGTATGATAATCTATATAACTGTATTTGTGTATACCTGAATAAACTTACGAACTGCAAAACTGAGGAGAAGTGGAAGGTAAACTATGACGATGGATGAAAGACTTTCTATCTGAAAAGAAAATGTGGTATTACAAGTCTCTGTAATTGCTCCAAAAATGTTTTTAATTTATATTAATTAAAAGAAGCAACAGAAAACTAAATAAATATGTTGGCGAATGATGGAGAAGTACAAAGAAAACGATAAAAATGGCTATAAATCACTACAAGTTGACCTGGATAAATGAAGCACTTGGAGTGAAGGATGGATGATGGAACTTAACATAAATGAATAATGTAGTGGAAAGTGGAGAAAGTGAAATCATGCCACCTGAAGATGTGACAAAATATAGAAAGCATCAGAGGTATGTACATGTTATTTAATTAACAAAAAAAAGTGCCACCGGAAGATCATGTCTACCTGGAGAGAACTTCGGGGGTCAGAGCCCCGGCGGCTCTGTCTGAGACCAGATTTTGTATTGGATCAAGGTCTGATCAACAAGGCTGTTACTGCTGGCCACACTTAAGTGAAAGTATTGAAAATTCAAGAAAATCATATGTTATATAAATAATCTTCATATATGTAAAGAGAAATGCTAAAAAAAATATTTAAATTTGTTAGACCAGAGTGGAATATCCAGCAAATGTCTCGTCCCTAACAGAGAAAAAATGTACTCTGGAAAGATCTCAAAGAATAACTACGAAACCGTACCACGGATGGGGTTAGAACCCACGATCAGAGACTCATAAAACTCCAGACCATTGCATTAGCCATGTTTTGTGACTCTCTGATCGCGGGTTCTAACCCCACCCGTGGTATGGTTCGTTTGCAATCGTGTCATTACGATTTCGTGGGTCAATAACTACGAAATTTCAGCCAGAGTTAAAAAAAATGCGTTAGGAGGAAAGGTTGTTAGCAGTATAGTTGTGCACACTGGCTGATGACAGGGAGGAGACATGATCACTACATACATGGCTAAGAAAAATAAAGGTCACGAAAGAAGAGATGAGACAGAGAACAGAGAGACAGAGAGAAAGACAGAGAGGTTGACTAATGGAAATAATTAAAAAGGGAATTAGTAAATACCACAATCACTGGAAATTAATAAATATGATATTGTATGAAGAAATCAATGAAGGCAGAACACCAAGATTATGACGCTCTGGTCTTGTAGTTATTATAGTAACTGCTAGTTACTACTGTAACTATAGTTACTATTTTAACTAGTAGTTACTACAGTAACTGGTAGTTACTACAGCAACTGGTAGTTAATACAGTACCTGGCAGTGACTACAATAACTGATAGTCAATACAATAACTGATAGTTACAGTAACTGGTAGTTACTACAGTAACTGAAAGTTACAAATAGACAGTTATAACACACACACACACACACACACACACACACACACACACACACACACACACACACAGACTCGTAAGTGTCCATGTTTGCAGATGATGTGAAGCTAATGAGGAGAATCAAATCGGTCGAGGATCAGGCAGGACTACAAAGAGACCTGGTCAGGCTAAAAGCCTGGTTCAGCAACTGGCTCCTTGAATTTAACCCTGCCAAATGCAAAGTCATGAAAATCGGGGAAGAGCAAAGAAGACCGCAAACCTCACTTAAGGAAAAATATCTTGGGGCGAGTTTAATACCGAGCACATCTGAGGCGCACATCAATCAGATAACTGCTGCAGAATACGGGCGTCTGGCAAACCTAAGGATAGTGTTCCGATACCTCAGTAAGGAATCGTTCAAGACTCTGTACACCATATAAGTCAGGCCCATACTGGAGTATGCAGCATCAGTTTGGAATCCACACCTGGCCAAGCACGTCAAGAAATTAGAGAAAGTGCAAAGGTTTGCAACAAGACTAGTCCCAGAACTAAGAGGATTGTCCTACGAAGAAAGTTTAAGGAAAATTGGCCTGACGACTGGAGGACAGGAGAGTCAGTGGAGACATGATAAAGACACATAAAATACTGCGCGGAATAGACAAGGTGGACGAGGACATGATGTTCCAGAGATGGGACACAGAAACAAGGGGTCACAATTGGAAGATGAAGACTCAGATGAGTTAAAGGAATGTTAGGAAGTATCTCTTCAGTCATAGAGTTGTCAGGCAGTGGAAAAGCCTAGAAAGTGACGAAGTGGAGGCAGGAACCATACAGAGTTTTAAGAAGAGTTTGATAAAGCTCATGGAGCAGGGAGAGAGAGGACCTAGTATCAATCAGTGAAGAGGCGGGGCCAGGAGCTATGACTCGACCCCTGCAACCACAAATAAGTGAGTATATCTCCCACACACACGTACACACACACACACACACATACACACACACACACAGGCAGGAAGGACTCCAGGAACTCAGAATAGGGAGATACACAAGCAAGTGCTTAATGAAATACACACAACCGAGGAGGAAGTGAAGAAACTGCTATGTGAACTTGATACCTCAAAGGCGGTGGGACCAGACATCTCTCTGTGGGTCCTTAGAGAGGGAGTAGAGATGCTGTACGTGCCAATAACAAAAGTCTTCAACACATCCAATGAGACTGGGCAGCTACCTGAGGTATGGAAGATGGCAAATGTAGTCCCAATTTTTAAGAAAGGAGACAGACACAAGGCATTAAACTATAGACCTGTGTCACTGACGTATATAGTATGCAAAGTCATGGAGATCATCAGGAGGAGAGTGGTGGAGCACCAGAAAGATACAAGCTTATGAACGACAACCAGCACGGTTTCAGGGAAGGAAAATCCTGTGTCACAAACCTATTTGAGTTTTATGACATGGTAACAGAGGTAAGACACAAGAGGGAGAGGTGCAAGACTGCATTTTCTTGGACCGCAAGAAGGCCTTCGACACAGTTCTTCACACGAGGTTTATGCAAAAACTAGAGGATCAGGCACGCATAAGAGGAAAGGCACTGCAATGGATCAGAGAATACCTGACAGAGAGGCAACAACGAGTCATGGTATGTGATGAGGTGTTAGAGTGGGCGCCTGTGACGAGCGAGGTTCCACAGGTGTCAGTCCTAGGACCTGTGCTGTTTTTGGTACATGTGAATGACATAACGGAAGGGATAGACTCAGAAGTGTCCCTGTTTGCATATGAAGTAAAGCCAATGAGGAGAATTAAATCGGTCTAGGATCAGACTAAACTACAAAGAGATCTGGACAGGCTTCATGCTTGGTCCAGCAACTGGTTACTTGGATTTAACCCCATCAAATGCAAAGTCATGAAGATCGGGGGAGAGCAAAGAAGACAGCAGACAGAGTATGGTCTAAGTGGCCAAAGACTGCAAACCTCACTCAAGGAAAGAGATCTTGGGGTGAGTATAATACTGAGCACATCTCCTGAGGCGCACATCAATCAGAAAACCGATGTTGCTTAAGGGCGTCTGGCTAACCTAAGAATAGCGCTCCGATACCTTAGTAAGGAATCGTTCAAGACTGTACACCATATACGTCAGGCCCATACTGGAGTATGCAGCACCAGTTTGGGATCCACACCTGGTCAAGCACGTCAAGAAATTAGAGAAATTGCAAAGATTTGCAACATGACTAGTTCCATGTTGAAAGGTTAAGGGAAATCGACCTGACGACACTGAAGGACAGGAGGGTCAAGGGAGACATGATAATGACATACAAGATACTGCGAGGAATTGAAAAGGTGGACAAAGACAGGATGTTCCAGAGATGGGACACAGAAACAAGGGGTCACAATTGGAAGTTGAAGACTCCTATGTGTCAAAGGTATGTTAGGAAGTATTTCTTCAGTCATAGAGTTGTCAGGCAGTGAAATAGCCTAGAAAGTGACATAGTGGAGGCAGGAACCATACATAGATTTAAGACGAGGTTTGATAAAGCTCATGGAGCAGGGAGAGAGAAGGCCTAGTAGCATAGTAGCATAGACTTGACCCCTGCAACCACAAATAGGTGAGTACACACACACACACACACACACACACACACACACACACACACACACACCACACACACACACACACACACACACACACACCACACACACACACACACACACACACACACACACACACACACACACACACACACACACACACACACACACACACACACACACACACACACACACACACACACCACACACACACACACACACACACACACACACACACACACACACACACACACACACACACACACACACACACCACACACACTGCACAAGACTAATAAACATATGAATAATAAAAGAGAAACCCGAGTAAGACTTCCCTGGTGTTTGGTAGTGTTGGTGTCACTTTCTCTAAATAAATGACTCGTTTTTCACCTCAGGATGACAAAAAACAACTAATTCTTTTCACAGACTTACAGAGGCGTATGTTTTATATATATATATATATATATATATATATATATATATATATATATATATATATATATATATATATATATATACATATATATATATATATATATATATATATATATATATATATATATATATATGAGCGTGTGTGTGTGTGTGTGTGGTGTGTGTGTGTGTGTGCAATGATGTCGTGCCGAATAGGTAATACTTGCGATTTTGCCTTAAATAGCAACGCTCTTCTTGCCGAATAAGGGGACCGAAAATTTGTGTATGGGTAATTTCGCAAAAATCATTCTGAATCTAACGAAAAAAATATAATTCATTGTGTTTGTTTATTATTAAATTATTGTAAACTTATCTAAAATATATTTAGTTGGATTAGGCTAAATTAAATTGTGCTTGTGATAATAAGGTTGGGTAAGTTTTCTAAGGTTCTTTTGGTACACAATCATTAATTTTTACATTAACATAATTGAAAAAAATATCTTTAAACGTACAAGAGAAAATTTTAGAGAGGACTTAATTTTAAGCGAGTTCTTTCTAATTGACCAGTTTTTCCTATTCGGCACGACATATATATATATATATATATATATATATATATATATATATATATATATATATATATATATATATATATATATATATATATATATATATGCAATAAGATCACAGTGAAAGGTGATTTCAAAGTAGTCACGAAAGCGCTTGG